GGACATGGGAGAACATGGGGAAGTGGGATGACACGGGGGGGTGGGGTGCCAGGGGGATGTGGGGTGCTGTGGGGTGACACTGGGGTGACACTGGGATGTGGGGTGACTCTGGGGTGCCACATGAGGGTCACACATGGGAGTGACACAGGAGTGACACAGGGGGACACTGGGGTGACACGGGGAGGATGTAGGAGGACACGAGGGGACACGGGGTGATGTGGACATGGGAGGACATGGGGATGTGGGGTGACACTGGGGTGACACTGGGGTGCCGTGGGGTGTCACAGGGATGTGGGGTGACACTGGGGTGACACTGGGATGTGGGGTGACTCTGGGGTGACACTGGGGTGACACAGGGAGGACGTGGGAGGACATGAGGGGACATGGGGTGATGTGGACATGGGAGGACACAGGAATGTGGGGTGCCATGGGGTGTCACGGGGATGTGGGGTGCCATGGGGTGCCGTGGGGTGCCGTGGGGTGCCATGGGGTGCCGTGGGGTGTCACGGGGTGTCACGGGGTGTCACCTTGTGGTATCTGTGTGGCCAGGGGGGAGGAGATGGTGACGAAGTGTCTCTCTCGGCAGCCGTAGTGCACGGGCATCTGCCGGCCGCGGCCGGGGTCGCTGGCGTTGCCGTAACACTGCGCCATGAACAGCTCCAGGGGGTACCCCCGGTACAGCAGCACCCCTGGGGGGCACACGCGTGTGTCACGGGGTGTCAACACACACACGCGTGTGTCACGGGGTGTCACCGTGTCCATACGTGTCACCCCATGTCACCTGTGTCACCCTGTGTCAGCCCATGTCAGCCCATGACACCCCATGTCCCCACGTCTCTGCATCTCCCCATGTTCTTCCACCCCGTAGTTGGTCATGTAGAAGGAGATGCGGCCCTGGGGGGACACACACATGTGTGTCAAGTCACTTGTGTCACCCCATGTCATCTGTGTCACCCCATGACACCCTGTGTTCCCACGTCCCTGCATCCCCCCACGTTCCTCCTCCCCATGGTTGGTCATGTAGAAGGACACATGGCCCTAGGACACACACATGCATGTCACGGCGTGTCACCGTGTCCACACGTGTCACCTGTGTCCCCATGTGTCACCTGTGTCACCCCATGTCACCCCATGTCAGCCCATGACACCCAGTGTCACCACGTCTCTGCATCTCCCCATGTTTCTCCTCCCCATGGTTGGTCATGTAGAAGGAGATGCGGCCCTAGGACACACACACGCGTGTGTCACGGGGTGTCACCGTGTCCATACGTGTCACCCCATGTCACCTGTGTCACCCTGTGTCAGCCCATGTCAGCCCATGTCAGCACATGACACCCCATGTCCCCACGTCTCTGCATCTCCCCATGTTCTTCCTCCCCGTAGTTGGTCATGTAGAAGGAGATGCGGCCCTGGGGGGGCACACACGTGTGTGTCACGGGGTGTCACCGTGTCACCACGTGTCATCTGTGTCACCACATGTCACCCCGTGTCGCCCTGTGTCACCCAGTGTCACCACAACCCTGCATCTCCCCATGTTCCTCATCCCCTCCTCCCCGTAGTTGGTCATGTAGAAGGAGATGCGGCCCTGGGGGGGCACACGCGTGTGTCATGGGGTGTCACCGTGTCCCCACGTGTCACCCCATGTCCCCACGTGTCACCTCTGTCACCCCATGTGACCCCAAGTCACCCCATGTCATCTGTGTCACCCCGTGTCACCCCGTGACACCCCGTGACACCCCGTGTCCCTACAACTCTGCATCTCCCCATGGTTGGTCATGTAGAAGGAGATGCGGCCCTGGGGGGGACACACGCGTGTGTCATGGGGTGTCACCGTGTCCCCACGTGTCATCTGTGTCACCACATGTCACCTTGTGTCACCCCATGTCACCCCATGTCAGCCTATGACAAGTCGCGTCACCATGACTCTGCATCTCCCCATGTTCCTCCTCCCCATGGTTGGTCATGTAAAAGGAGATGCGGCCCTAGGGGGGGCACACGCGTGTGTCACGGGGTGTCACCGTGTCCACACGTGTCATCTGTGTCCCCACGTGTCACCCATGTCACCCCAAGTCACCCTGTGTCACCCCATGTCACCCCATGACACCCCATGTCCCCACGTCCCTGCATCTCCCCATGTTCCTCTGTCCCCTCCTCCCCGTAGTTGGTCATGTGGAAGGAGATGCAGCCCTGGGGGGGACACATGCGTGTGTCACGGGGTGTCACCGTGTCCACACATGTCACCCCGTGTCACCCCATGACACCCAGTGTCCCCACGACTCTGCATCTCCCCATGTTCCTCATCCCCTCCTCCCCACGGTTGGTCATGTAGAAGGAGATGCGGCCCTGGGGGAGACACACGTGTGTGTCACGGGGTGTCACCATGTCCACACGTGTCACCCCATGTCCCCACGTGTCACCTCTGTCACCCCATATGACCCCAAGTCACCCCATGTCATCTGTGTCACCCCATGTCACCCCGTGACACCCCGTGTCCCTCCAACTCTGCATCTCCCCATGGTTGGTCATGTAGAAGGAGATGCGGCCCTAGGACACACACACGCGTGTGTCACGGGGTGTCACCGTGTCCATACGTGTCACCCC